CTGGAACAGCAACAAAAGCTTCAAAGTGAGTACTTTTCATTCCGTTCCACATTAGCCAGTTCCCCTGAACTCCTCACAGTTTGTAGTTTTGACTTTATAAACCCCACTGTTCTGCAATGCAGGATCAAGAGCCCAGTTTAAGGACCTTGAATGGACTTTCTTATGTCAGTACCTTTGATGAATTTGTTAGCATTCACTGTGATTCCTGAGTCAAAATTTCCTTGAGGGCATCTGCTTGCTGTCATAAACTCTCCATGCTGACTGGATGGCTCCAAACAGCTTTCCGATGAGAAACTGCTTCTGGCAGTCTGGGTGTGTTGGACAGTGGTGAGCCTTGGTAGTTTCCGGTATAGATCCCTGGGAGGAACTAGACCTTTCTCCTTCCGACTTCTCTGTGGAAGACTTTGTCCCTTTTGCACTCAGCTATGGCACTTTCCAGCTCATGGATTCTCTCTTAACCCTGTACCACCTGCTGATGTTAGCTGCACTTGTAAACCAGGGGACAGAGTTACAAAACAGTGACCCCCTGGCTCTCTGTGTTGCAATCCCAGTTTTATGAGGCAATTATGTCAACTCATCTCCTAATAATATTGCTTCTTTCCTTGTCACCACACAAGAATGTGCAGATGTTCCTCAGACCTCACCCTTGTTTTTATTTCCTTATCAGCTCACCTGGGACACCCACCCACCTTCTCTCTTGCAAGCAGCAGCATCATCATAAGACAGCTGCATTATAAGACACGGCATACAGCTGACTGGGGAGACTCAGCTCCAAGGTCCTCTGTCACTAGGACCTGTACCCTAGGTGCTGTCCATTTCACTAGGGCAGTCTCCTAGGAGCTTGTCCTTAGCTAGTAACTGAACAAGTCCTGTATCTGATTTTATTCTACCTGAGATGATTCAGGAACTTGAAAGGCAGTAGGAAAATTCTTAATGAAGAAACGCCAGGGATCAGAAAATGGAACGATTCTACCCAGGACATTCCTGGAGGTGAAGGGTCTCATACACACACACAAAATGTAACATGAGGATAGCAAATGCTCTGACTCTAAAAGACAATACCAGCCACTGTTTTTACTGGCTTCATGGAATGCAGTTGTAACTCAAAGTGGCCTTGTGTTTCTGGGCTTCAGCTCTTGCCCACTGAGGACCAGTGTCTCTTGCAGACAGGATTGTGTCTTAGGTAAATAAATACCTTCATAAATTTAAATGATTTAGGCTCACCCCTTCTGTCTTTATGGGGCCACCTTTGTTCTTCACTCCCATTCATTTTCGCCTTCCACCATCCTTCGGATAGTATCTATAGGTTGACTTCCAAAACTTACCAATGAATGTGCCTTGGCCTTGGACTGGTAGGCTTCGCTACATCATCCTAGGATCTAAATTTTGGGCATAACAGTAACATCTGTACATGGGGAAAAGTCAGGAAAGAAAGTCCTGTGGTTGACAGGGACTTGGTGCTTTGGTTCTCCAAGTGTGGTCCTTGGACTGGCAGCATCAGCATCACTGGGGGACCTTGTCTAAATGGGCATCCTTGAGTTCCCCCAAGTTGAGCCAGAGACTCAAGCAGTCTGCTAGAACAAGCCCCAACCAGGCCAGTTTCAAAGCCATCAACTTAGAGCAACAGCAGCTGAAGGAAGCCAACTGTGTAAGTTTCCCTCCTCCCACTGCCAGCCAGAAAAAAATGGTCCCTTTAGACCACTTTAGAGATCAAGTTTAGAGATCAAAGTCCCCTCCCCAGCACCGGCCCTTTAGCATATAGGGAGCTCATCTCTAGCATGCAGCAGTGACACCAGCTCTCCTGACCCATCACCACTGTGCTTTGGTTGACCCAAGAGCTTCCAGGAAGAGGAAGACTGTGGAGGGGATTCTAAGTGGCCAGCTGTGAGGCTTCTTCACAGCTCTGGTCCATCATTCCATACTTGGGCAAGGGTCAGAGTGGGAAAATCCCTCAGAAACACACACTTGGCAAAGGGGAACAGAAGCTTGTTTTCCAGATCCTGCAGCCTCCTACCTAATGCCCAAATAACTGGCAAAGAAAATAAAGGAGCCAAGGTCTTCCAAGGTCAAAGCATGAGATGTACCGTGTAAGTGCAGGAGATGCAATGTAGACTCTTGCTAAGCTTTTAGGTTGGGGAGCGGGGTGATGTAGAGGAAAGAGATCAGCTGCCAATGGCCTTGGTGGCATCGCGCTTTTTTCTCCCCTCACTGGAGCTTCTCTCCAGCCTGCTGAAGTGGTCACTAGAGATCTGAGAGAACCCCACGTTCTTGGGGGGATAGCTTCTCTCACCCTGACTCTGTGACGGGTGAGTAGACAGTTGACAGCAAAGCTCAGAGCTAACACTGCCACAGAGAACACAGGTATTCCCTGGCTAGCCCGTGGCGGGAAAGGCTGCTAACCTGAGTTTTCAAAGGCTTTGTGCTCAGGATCCCAACTGTGGCACCACAGCCAGGGTTGACCAAGCACTGCCACGCCCAAAGCAGCTACTGTCCTGTTTGCTATTAGGGGATCCTTGCAGCTTCTGTTCCACATTGCTGCTAATTGGCATCCTGGCCCTTGCTTTCGCAGTCATTCAGATCCACAGCTCTGAGATGCCCAGGGAGCCTCCTGCCTGGACACCCCAACACCCCAGATATCTGCTGCCTTCAGTTCTGGGAGGCCCCAAAACAGGTCTGGCTTCACCTGAGGGCTAAGATCTGTTCTAGAGAGGGTGAGACACTGCCATTTCTTCATTTAAAAAAAGCACATAAATGACCATTTTTACTTCCTAACACAACCTTGAAAAGTTGGGGCTTCAGAAAAAAACAACCCAGTTTCTGATTGAAAATGTTTCAGGCCCAGCACAATGGCTCAATGGCTAAATCCTCACCTTACATGTGCTGCTGGAATCCCATATGGGCGCCAATTTGTGTCCCTCCTGCTCCACTTCCCATCCAGCTCCCTGTTTGTGGCCTGGGAAAACAGTGGAGAGTGGCCCAAAGCCTTGGGACCCTGCACCCATGTAGGAAACCTGGAAGAAGCTCCTGGATCCTGGCTTTGGATCAGCTCATCACTGCCCGTTGCAGCCACTTGGGGAGTGAGCCAGTAGATGGAAGATCTTTCTCTCTCCTTTTCTTCTTCTCTCTGTAAATCTGCGTTTCTCATAAAAATAAATAAATTGAAAGAAAGAAAGAAAGAGAAAGAAATAGAGAGAGAGAGAGAGAAAGAAAGAAAGAAAGAAAGAGAGAGAAAGAAAGAGAGAAAGAAAGAAAGAAAGAAAGAAAGAAAGAAAGAAAGAAAGAAAGAAAGAAAGAAAGAAAGAAAGAAAGAAAGAAAGAAAGAAAGACTGGCAGCAGCACTGTGGTGTAGCAGGTTAAGCCACTGCCTTGATGCTAGCATCCCACATGGGTGTTGGTTTGAGACTCGGCTGCTTCCCTACCTCTGATCCAGCTCCCTGCTAATGCACATGGGAAAAGTAGTGGAAGACGGCCCAGGTGCCTGAAGAAGCTCAGAGCACCTGGCTTCAGTTTGGCACACTGGTGGCTACCACAGCCATTTGGAAAGTGAACCAGAGGATGGAAGAGCTCTGTCTCTCATATTCTTTTTAACTGTGCATCTCAAAGAAATAAGGACTATACCTTTTTTAAAAAGAGAAAGAATGCCCGGTGCAATGGCCAACAGCTAAAGTCCTCCCCTTGCATGCACCATGATCTCATGTGTACCAGTTCATGTCCTGGTGGCCCCACTTCCCATCCAGCTTCCTGCTTGTGCCCTGGGAAAGCACCCAAGGGAGACCCAGGAAAAGCTCCTGGCTCCTGGTTTCAGATCGGCTCAGCTCTGGCTGTTGTGGTCACTTGGGGAGCGAATCGGCGGTCAGAAAATCTTCCTGTCTGTCTCTCTTTCTCTCTATATATCTCACTTTTCCAATAAAAATAAATCTTTACAGAGATAAAGAGAGATAAAGATGTGCTAATTGTAGGTCCCAGAATTCCAGTTTACTACAGCAACTACCCAGGTATTTAGTGCCTGAAGGCCAAACTAAATACTTTGGAGCAGCTTCTAGGAAAGTTCCCTAGTGAAAAGTGAATGGGGTTGGAGGGCAGGACCCAGACTGCCACCTGTATGCTGCTGGGAACCCGCTGTGGACCAGCTCCACCCTGCACGGCAGTTGCCACATCTCTGTAGAACAAGCACATTTAGCTGGGAGGAAAAGTCCAAGGCAGGTGTCACTCCATGCCCCTACTTGGAACTGTCTCCTAGTGTGGTGTCAGGGGACAGCGTGCGACTTTGGGATTGAGCCATGTGGCCAGCAGGGCGCACACATCACCTCACCCGACTAGGGCAGTCACTGCCATTTCCATTAGTGAGGCAAGATCATGGAACTGAGCTCCCGGCGTAAGCTCACGCTCCCCTCCACTGGCCACAGCTGCTACTCAGTTCTCAGGCTGGCCTCCCCATCAGGCTGCGCTGCCCTCCCCATCAGCTCTGCGTTAGATCCTCTCCTATCTGCTGTGCTCACTCTGTACTCATCAGCAACACCTACCTAACTTCCTGCCTCTTCCTACATTCCCTGGGTTAGGAGGAGAACCTAAAGGAGGAGTGATGGGGCGCGCCAGGATTTGGCCCAATTCCTCTTGCATCAGATCTTTCTGCAGAGCGCGCGGCTGAGAGTCCACTACGGCACGATCCAGTCAAGTTGTAAGGCGGCTGGACGGGAACCAAGGACCGAGACTTGCCCCGCAGGCGGGCAGATCGAGTCCTTTCGGTCTCCAGCCCGTGCGCCGCTGGAGCACCGAGACCACCCCGCAGCGAAGAGGTGCCTTCCCCAAATCCCTGAGACTATCCCGCAGCGAAATCAGCCTCACCAGCTCCCCGGTCCCAGTGAATCCCAAATGGCCACGCGCACCAGCCCTGCCGCTCTGAGCGCAGGTGGCCCCGCTGCACCCAGGATGGCGCCCCTGCGCCCAGGGCTTTCAAGCCGCCAGAAGGTGACCCGCCCGGCGCTTCCCGGTGCACTTACCCATGGTGGCTGCTCCGAGGGACCACGGCCACCGGCGAATGGTGAGCAGAAGCCCGACTCCTTAGATTTTGTTTCCAGGACCTGCTCAGCCAGGTACCTAGGGGAGAGCAGGATTGCAAAAGAGGCGGGGCTGACTCGGACTCCACCCCCCACCCGAGATGGCGGAATGATAGTTAACGCCCCCTCCCCCACCGCCTGGAAGTCTTGCCTGGGGCCACCCTGGCCCCAAGGCGTTTGAGGAGAAAAAGACTCCAGGACCTGCCATCCTGCCCTCCTCCAACTGCCCCCATCTTCCCAAACAAGAGCATGGATCAGTTGTCTGGAGGGCTTGTACAGGTTGTCAGGTCTGCCCCTGACTCAACAGGTGGGGATGAGCCAGGAAACTGACAATCTGAGGTGATGCTGATGCCTCCTGGCTTCGGGGACCTCCCAGTACCTGCATGTACCGGGTGGCAAAACTTGCAGGAACACCAGGCACCTGCCAGTGACATAGCATGGGCAGAACACCATGTCATCTGCAAAGGGCCATTTGTATATTTCTTTTTTTTTTTTTTTTTTAAGATTTATTTATTTATTCATTGGAAAGTCAGATATACAGAGAGGAAGATCTTCTATCTGATGATTCACTCCCCAAGTGAGCGCAATGACCAATGCTATGCCGATCTGAAGCCAGGATCCAGGAACCTCTTCTGGGTCTCCCACATGGGTGCAGGGTCCCAAGGTCTTGGGCCATCCTCAACTGTTTTCCCAGGCCACAAGCAGGGAGCTGGATGGGAAGTGGAGCTGCTGGGATTAGAACTGACGCCCATATGGGATCCTGGCACATTCAAGCCAAGGACTTTAGCCGCTAGGCCACGCCGCCAGGCCCCATTTGTATATTTCTAACATCATGCACGGACCATACAAAATTGTCAAATTAAAAATTAGCCTGCTATAGATTTATTGAGTTTCAATTTCCCCTGCAGTTGCCCTGGCAGGGCCAGACAAAATGATTTCAGTCCATGGCAGGTGGATTGGTGGATCCCCAAGCCCTGATAGAGTTTGAACTGCCGAAAACCTCTCCGGAAGATTCTACATTTCCTTTCATTAACAGAACAAGGGCCAGGCATGTGCAGCAGTGGCTGAGACCCTGCTTGGGATGCCCACATCCCAGGTGGAATGACTGGCACTGAATCCTGGCTCCGCTTCCATTCCAGCTGCCTGCTAATACACCTGGGAAGGCAGCTGTGGATGGCCCAAAGGCTTGGGCCTCTGCCATCCATGTGGGAGACCCAGCTAGGGTTCCCAGCTCCTGGCCAAGCCTTGACGGTTGGAGGCATTTGGTGAGAGAACCAGGAGATGGAAAACGCTCTGTCTTTTAAATAAAGAAAAACAAATGATAGAGAATCAAGATGGCAGAATAAGGTAAGGATATGTTTAAACAGACAGAGAAACATTAGCCAGTGTGAAGCAGAGAGGACATATTCCAGGAAACAGGAGAGGACAGAACAACAGTAAAAGTGTACCTGGAGACTGACTGACACATGAAAGCAGTGGACACAATGGTGTGGTGTTGCAGTGACTGATACACCAGCGGTATTCAGCTAACCGCGATCTGAACTCCACCAGCAGCCAGAACTCCACCAGCAACAAGGTGAAAAGGGACATTTACCGGGAGCTCAGGATGTGAACCCTGACAAAGAATGGTCCTGCTGTCCTGTTTGATTTGACCAGGAGCAGAGACAGAGCAGCAGGTCCCAGAGGAGCACTGCAGGAACAAGGTTGATTTCGCAGCCTAGTCCGCCACCTAGAGCCAAATCGAGCACCATTTTGTAGGGTGTGAAAAAACAAGACTGCAGGGACAACAGTGAGATGTGCATGCGCTGAGCTGTGAGTGAACTCATTGACCTCAGTGCATTGCAGTGGTTGCACAGAGAAAATACTACTGATAATGGCATCGTACATGTCAAAATAGGTCTGTGTGGCCCTCAGACCTAATGGCAAACAGGTTCCGGCAAGATCAGCACCATCAACAACCTAGCTATATGGGACACCTGGTGTCTTCCCTAATCCTGGGACCTGCTCCTACTGGCAGTGGGAGAAAGGTTGCAGAGACAATGGTGCAGCCTCAACACGGTATAACAGGAGGTGGAGACTGGTGAGCCAGGAGCTGGGACTACAGAGACCATCGTGGAAATCTAACATAAGAACCCAGACCTGGAACTCACTGGAGGGAGTGGCACAAGTGGCTGCAAGCAAAGAGCTGTGTACCAACTGCAATAAGTGAAATCGTACTGAGACCTGTGGGTGACACAGCTTAGAAACCTGCCCCAAGGAGAAGAATCTGCTAACCAGAAGTACAATGACCAACAGCAAAAGAAGAGACAGAGGCACAACGAATATTACTGAAGACTTCCTGTAAAGGAGCAAAAGCTTTTGCCAACCTCAGAGTTCAGTGAGGAAGACATCAAGAAAATGAGGATATGGAATTCAAAACACGTGTTGTAAAGCTTCTTATCAACAACAAGAAGCACGTAAAGCGGGAGTTCAAAGAATTCAAGGAATATGTCACACTGGAAATGAGTCAAATGAAAGCTGATATATCAGAAATGAAGAATACAGTGGAGCAAATTAAAAGTACAGTGGAGAGTTTCCAAAATAGAATGAAGGAGGCAGAAGAAAGAATCTCATTTTGAAATTTCCTGACCCCAAGGAGAAGCAAACAAAAAGCTGGAAGCAGAGTTGGATCAGGCCAAAAAAAGTATTCAAGAATTGAAAGACACTATTAAGAGGCCTAATATAAGTCATGGGAGTCCCAGAAGGTGCAGAAAGAGAAATTGGTTTTACAAATATATTTAATGAGATAATAAAAGGAAAAGTTCCCTAATCTGGAGAAAGAATTGGGAAACAACATCCAGGAGGGGCACAGAACTCCTAACAGGGTTGACCAAAAGCGATCTTTATCACGACACATGATCCTCAAGTTCTCTTCAATCAGACATAAGGAAAAGATCCTTAAATGTGCACGTGAAAAAATCAATTGACATATAAAGGAATGCCAATTAAACTCACAGGAGACCTCTCACAGGAAACTCTACAGGCCAGAAGAGAATGGAATAACATATTCCAGACTAAAAAAGGAAAAAATTGTCAGCCCAGGATAACGTACCCAGTAAAACTTGATTTTTTTTTGTTTCATCTCTTCAAAACTGATTAAATTCTTCGATGACTCATAGATCATAAGGAAGCATCATTTTCTTCAAGAAGGTTCTTGATTTTCTTTTTCACTTCTTCAGGGACACATTAGTCATTCAGTAGCATGTTATTTAACTCCATGGTGTTGTTCATTTCTTTTTTCTTTCTGTTGTTGATTTTGTTTTGTGGCTTTTCATTTAAGTGGATGTATAGTAACTGTGTAATGTAGACTATCATATCCAGATGTGAAGGTACAATGCAAAGGTGGACTTCCAATGAAAACATTTATTATATCTTGACAAGAGGAAGCTGAACTCTCTGCCATTGTCCATGCCTGCAATGACGGATTTATGACTGTTTATGAAGAACTATACAATAGTAATAATACAGGGGAACTCAGTGAAGCGGGGAGGGGATTCGGGAGAGGGTAAGGGAAATCCCAGGGCCTATGGAACTGTATCATAAAATGATAATAAAAAAGGATATGAAATAAAAAATAAATGATAATTAAACTAATTGAAAATGATAAAACAAAATTGACAATTCCATAGCAATGATCTCAGACCATCTTCTTGCTTTCTTATTGACTTGAGGCAGTCCCTGCTCTGTGAACACAGAAAGAAACATTAAAATGTAAAATCAGGGCCCAGCACAGCAACCTAGTGGCTAAAGTCCTTACCTTGCACGTGCCAGGATCCCAAATGGGCACTGGCTTGTGTCCTGGCTGCTCCACTTCCATTCCAACTCCCTGCTTTTGGCCTGGGAAGGCAGTAGAGGATGAACCAAGGCTTTGAGACCCTGTACCAAGTGGGAAGATGCTCCTGGCTCCTGGCTTCAGATCAGTTCAGCTTCAACCATTGTGGCCACTTGGGGAGTGAAACAGCAGATGGAAGATATTTCTCTCTGTCTCCCTCCTCCCTGTAAATCTGACTTTCCAATAAAAATAAATAAATCTTAAAAACAAAACAGGAAATCAGGAGAGTTATATGGGCTTTTGGGGGGGATTGTGATTTGTAAACTGGGAATAGTAATTCAGAAATAGACTGGAGTTGTATATATTAATACCAGTTTCTATAACATGCCCCGGATACTCACCACCCAGGATATTCCACCCCGCCACACGTGGTTCCTTGATACTTGAGGGGCAAGGACATAAGTGACTCTCCCTCTAGACTCCCCAAATGCAGCCTCCCCCATGACCCAGGCCTCTGGTTTCTGCAGCCCTTTGATCAAGATCAGGCAGCCACATGAGGGCCAGGACTGAGGGTTGGCTGCACTGGGCTAGGCTGTAGTCACTACTAGTGTAACTTGGAATTGGGGGTGGATCAGGACTGGCCAGACTACAGCACCCACTGGCAAATGCTGAGGTGATGTAGGCCAGTCCAGACTGGCGCACAGCACCCAAGCAGCACATGTGAGAACCAGGGAGTAGGGTGGAATATAAACCTGGTAGTGGGGCTGCGTGGGGCTCCTCTGTTGGACCACCACTCCCAGAAGTGAGCATGAGAGTTGGGATGGAGATAGACTAGGCTGGACCAGAGAAAAGCCAGGCTGGGCAGACTGTACCTACTGGTGCATGCATAAGCCAGGGTGGGTGTGGGTTGGTTGGGCTTTGCCACAGTATCAACTAGCACATGCTGGCAGAGGGGGCAAATCTGTCATGTTAAACTGCAGTACCATCTGGAGAGTGCAAGATCCAGAAATGGGAGTGGGCCCAATAGGGAAACAGTAGGCACCTCCCTCTTGGGCTGCCACTCCTACTGGTGAGAATGAGAACCAGGACTGGGACAGGCATGGCTAGACAGAGAGTGGAACACACCAGCACATGTG